GTTTAATTATTTGTGTGTTTGGTGTAAAAATTTGTGTATGTTGTTTAAGTCGCAATATGATTTTTTTTTTTTAATGTCGTTTTCATATTCTTTTTCGTCCAACTAGTTACAGAATTTGAAGTTTAGTTAAGACATCAAGAACGTGTTTCCTTTTTTTTCTCATACATTGAGTTCCAATTTGTCCCTAGAAAATATAATATGACTATAGACTATCTAGCAAAGAATGTATTGAGGAACCAATCATGTAATCACGCAAGCTTTAGATTGATTGAAAGAGAAAAAGTATTATTGTCCAAAAAAAAAAGTTAAAAAAATAATGAAACCTCGTCGTGGTATTGATCTCTAATTTAACCACTAATAAACTACCATTTTTAAAATACCATTTTTTGTTTACTTTCATAAATATAATTTTTATAAGTATTTATAAAAATGATATTTCTCAAAACTCCACTTTTAAAATAAAATATTATAGATTGTGGTTTTATTTGATTTGACCACTAATATACACTAACATTGGTTTTTATAATATATTTCAAATCTGTTATTAGAAGTCAAATCTGACAAATTTGTAGATTTTGGTTTAATTTGACAAATGTCAAATCTTTATACATCTCTTGTAATATCAAGCCGAGATCCATATATATATCATAAAGAGATGATGCTAAACATTAAAGATTTTAGTATTTTTCTGTACATAAAAATCTCGCCAAAGTTAATTTATATAATGCAATATAATTCAATATGTTTATGTAACTACAATAAGTTTTTTTTGTAAAAAAAAATTGCAATAAGTTTTAATGTTCTATTAATAATGGCCACATACTTTTGTATGATATACGAGATACGATAACGATCCTTGCTAATTTTTTCTTTATCTACATACAATGTATAAATCTATATGATTATATTAATGTCATTTGTATACATACTAAATAACTTAATCTATATCAATGAAGAATATACACTTTAATTGGATATCATATCACTTTAACTTAAGAGTATTTGCTTTTACTAATAAAACTTTTTTGAAGTATTAGAAGTTATATATATTGCATAGATTTTTTAACTTTTATTTTGCATGATTTTATTTAATCTATAAATCATTTAACTTAATCATCTCTACACTCAGAAAATAAAAACCACTTCAAAACAAATTGAAAGTTTGCATAGTTTTATTCATGATCAGTCGGATGATGACTAGATTTGTGCTCATCATTCTCTTTATAGCAGCAGAAATCACCAGAAGCAAGTTTAATGATATTCGTGATGCTGAAATAAATCGACTTTTGAAGAAACTTAACAAACCTGCTCTTAAATCAATTAAGTTAATTAAATTTGTGAATTTACACAAAATACATTTGAAACTACATTTTGGTACTAAATTTTATTCATAGTTGCATACATCTTGTAATATTTGTGCAGAGTCCAGACGAAGATATAATAGATTGTGTTCATATGAAAAATCATCCAATTTATGACCATCCTTTATTCAAAAATCATACCATTCAGGTTCAAAGAAACATTTTTTTCCAAAACATTTTTGTTATTATTATTGTTGTATATAACATAGAGTTCTAGACTTGTGGTTCATAGTTTCCTAAGATCCAAAAGTGTTAATTGATAATACTTGTAATAGATTTAAATTTTTATAGATAATATTTCTCAAAAGTAGCATTAGACTCAAATCTATAACCACTTATTAAACAATATGACTCTAAGTAGTTGAACTAACTATATTTAGGCTGTCATTTCTTAGATTTAATATGATATCTAATTTACTTTTAACCTTTTTTTTTAGATGAGACCAAGTTCTTATCCAAAAGAATGGAACAATAAATCTTCAGACACCGAAAAACAGAATACGGTGATTCAACTTTGGACAATTAATGGAAAATGTCCGAAAAACAGCATTCCAATTAGAAGAACAAAAAGAGAAGATATTTTACGAGTAGGATCAATTGAAAGATATATGAAAAAAGATTCTAACAACATCCCTCAATCTAAACCAACCTATTCAACTAATGACAATGTCACGCATGAGGTGCACAAATATCATTTAAAAAGCATTTGGAAACCATCATTTTTCTT